CTCACCTGTCATCTGTACCTCACCTATCATCTGTACCTCACCTGTCATCTGTACCTCACCTGTTCATCTGTACCTCACCTGTTCATCTGTACCTCAACTGTTCATCTGCACCTCACCTGTCACCTGTACCTCACCTGTCATCTTACCTCACCTGTCACCAATAAGGTAATACAATTCTCCTTTCAAACCATCATTTTAATGAGTTGCCACAGCCGTAGATAGAGAGTTCGGTCAAGTCGGTGATCGAACCTGTGCCCCGTGACACATGCACTATGCTGTTGTTACTCAGCTGATGAAGTTTGCGTTCGTACTGTAGATGATGATGATGATGATGATGTTTTGTCAGTAAAATTGTCATTAATGTTTATAATTGGATAAGCATGTTTATAAACTATGAAGTTATAGTTTAGCATGAATACAATATCGGTACTGTATAACGTGCACGTAGGCCGTATACAATTCAGGAAGCTGTTAGAGCAAACTTTTTTGGGTTGAGAGCTAAGAACTCTTGGAACAAACTGCCAGAGAGTGTTGTGACGGCATCGAGTGTGAGCTCAATCAATATCAAGACCAGACTTGATCAACACTGGCGCAGGTACAGATACATCCTGGGGCCAGAACATGATTGTCCATCCTTAAGGTGAAAATTTAAAATAAAGGTTCTGAAGGATTGAAAAGCCTATTTTGGGTTGACTGTGCCTGCCGAGTGTACGAGCGCTAAAGGACCCCCTCCAGCACCCATCAGGACGAGACGTCGACACACCATAGAAAACGGCAGTGGTATTAAGGGTGACTGTTGCAACGACTTCAAGGTTTGTGTAAATTTTATCTTGTGTAACTACTAACGAGATGACTTGGGAGGGGTGTTAGAGGGAGTCCACTAGCGCTCGTGCACTAGGGAGGCACACTCCACTGAAATATTTATTTGCATATTCAGTAAAGATATGATTTAAATGTGGTGACTATGAATGTTATATTGTAGTGGATTCCTCCCCTACAAGCACCGAACCTTCTCGAATTCCCCAGCCTACGCCTCTAGCGCCGCCCACGGAGCGGGGGTCAACTATCTACCCACGCCTAACCCAGCCTTATAAGGCCTGACACCGCTGTGACCGCCCTCTTTTCTACCCAGTGCCACCAGCAAGCAGCACCTCCTCCGCTCCCGCCAGCGACCTTGGCGTCCCTCAAGCCGCGTGCCCTCACTCTGGGCACCCTCACCACCCAGCTCTCTCTACTCAACGCTTATTACCATGCTACCTACCCAGCAACAAGCTGCATTGTACATCCAATACAATATGTATACAGTGAGCACATTGTGAGTTTCCTTTCTCCATCCCATCCTGAGTGTGAACCAATATCTCATAACTCTACAATATCAATTCCTATTTTTTTTATTCGATGCATATTTCAGTAAAATTTTACTTTCGGTAATCCCTGTGATTTTCTGGCGGTTTTTGGCGTGTTTTGAATGATTATGATCTCACCTAACCAACCTAATCTAACCAAATCTAGCCGCAGAACCCAGGGACTGTATCTAACCTAACCTAAATTCCTAACATTCTCCGGATTACCGAAACTAAAATAATACCCGTATTTCAGTATAACACAATTATTGTTCATCTATTCACTTTGACGTTCGATTTTAAATCCGTAAATTATTCCTGAATATCTCTGAGCGATAATATGTCGTCATATTTCGTCGTTTGAAAGTATAGTCCTAAAATTTCAACTAAGCGAGTTGTTCATAAAATATTCTTATTTAAATTGTTTTAGCATTTATCAATTAAATTCTGTTACTAAAAGCGAAATTATTATTCTGAAGAATCCCAATGTAAGCAAAGCAGACGACACCATACGTCAGAGTGAGTAACTAAAACACAATTAATAGGCATCGCACTATTCTTCAGGAGTGATATTGTCTTATTGGATATTCCTTGGTTCAAACAGTGTTGTTCAAAAAATCAGTATATAATGTTGTAACTTTATATATTCAAATAAACAATATTGTTCAAATAAACAGTACTGTTCAATTATCCAGTACTGTTCAAATAAACAATACCAGTATTATTAAATTAAGTAGTATATGCCGTACAGTATTGTTCAAATAAACAGATAGTGTTGTTCAATAAGTAGGTAGCGGTAATTACCTTGTTCTGGGGGAGCAGGCCTCGTCGGTGGTCACCTTGTGTTGGTGTTGGAGAATGAAGTCTTGGCATAGTCACCTTTGCGACACTTTGGCACTATTCAACACAATATTTGAAGAATTTCCACACTAGAGACACCTTACACTTTTACTTCAGCACTTACGACACTTTTTTACATATTTATTCCGGCACTTATGACACTTTTTACATGTTTATTCCGGCACTTATGACACTTTTTACATGTTTATTCCGGCACTTATGACACTTTTTACATGTTTATTCCGGCACTTATGACACTTTTTACATGTTTATTCCGGCACTTATGACACTTTTTACATGTTTATTCCGGCACTTATGACACTTTTTACATGTTTATTCCGGCACTTATGACACTTTTTACATGTTTATTCCGGCACTTATGACACTTTTTACATGTTTATTCCGGCACTTACGACACTTTTTACATGTGTATTCCGGCACTTATGACACTTTTCAACACTTCACGACGTTTTACAACACTGTATGGCACTTCCTATGTACTTTGTTTGATACTCTTCATCACTACATTTTCTGAATCCTTACATTTTATGACACTTTACAGAATGGCATCACTTTACAATTGAAATTTTGTAACATGACACTTCACTATTTCACAATTCAATACATTGTGATTTACACTTTTCAAGTTTTGGTCACATTTTAACACTTCACGACATGGACACTTTTTGAAACATGATAATTTACAACACAGGGTAACTTAATCAGCCTTTGAATTTGTCACTTTAAGACACTTTACGACATTTCTCAGTTTTTTCCCAACACTATGACATTGTGTTTTCGTCATTGTATTGTGCTTAATAACACCACAACAATTTGACTTTTAACACTTATGACACACCATGGCACTTCACAGTTCCTTATAGCTTTCCCAAGTTCACAACACTTAGAATTTTTTTGACACTTTACAACAAAATTTCATTATTGATACTGCACATTAAAATAATACATATTCCAGCACACAACAAGGCATTTATCCGTTTCTTGCCCTCAACGTATACTACCCTTGACCTAAAGCAGCAACAGCACTGATGTTCTTTGTGTTTTATTGTTTATGGAACTGATCAAGTGACACAAAGCTCGAACACCAAACCGAAACTGAGTCGAAACCAAACCAGCCCGACTAAGCAGTGTCTCATTACTATAAAAAGACTTAGGTTTCGTTACTTTTATCTTTTTAATGATATAATAAGGCTAAGAAAGCATTCAGCCATATTTCTTTCTTATAAACTAAAAGAAGTATACACAATAGAAAACACCTTTTTTTATTCTTTTATATTTATCTAAATAAATAAGTTACATTTGAGTTACTATATATGTACAGAACACAAATCATGAATCCGATTCGAGACGTCAACGATTTTGGTGTCGTGAGGCAACTGATGACAGACTTACCTTATTTTGTTTTATTCCGATTATTCACATGTAAAAGACTTATAAGCTAAAAAAAATTCTCTTAAAATGCCATATTAAAATGTGAAATAATATGATTATATAAGATTAATATCAAATTTAAACTTGAACTATATATATTGTATATATTCCTCGTATATATACGCACTCTCTCTCTTCGTGTGTGGAGCAATAAAGCAAGGTTGCCAGATTGGGCGAAAAGTAGCGGATTGGGCTACTTTTTTTGAGTGTCTGAAACTAAATATTAAAGATCTGCTACTTGCTACTTTTTAGGTTACTTCAAATTATATTTGGGCTTTTTTTCAGATGATTGGGCTACTTCCATTTTGAACTCTGTTGAAACATTAAAGAGAGTAAAGAACCTATCACCAAACATTTGTCTAAGTCACGCACGTACTCCATTCTCAGAGCTCCCACTTGAACTTGCTGATCAGTCTCAGATAACTTAAATTGAGAGTCAGTGGCGTCAAGCCTTAACTATTAATTGGGATGAGATTTTGAAGGAAATATACCAACTACTGGATCACTATTTTGGACGAAAGCAATTACAGTAAAAATTGTTGCGGGATAGCTTGTGTTAAAAGAGATTGCAGAATTTGCACTAAAAGTTTATAGCTTGCCAATAAGTAACGCCCTTGTTGAACGGATATTTTCGAGAATTACACCAGTTAAAACTAAATTGTGGAACAGAGTAGGGTTAGAGCTCTTAACACCAATATTAAGTATAGAAATATGCCTTGAATTAAATGGAACTTGCTGTTCGTCATTTGATCCTCCAATGTCCATGCTGAACTATGACTCATCAATCTATAGAGATGAGGAAGTAGATGCAGAAGAGGAAGACCTACTGAACAGTGTAGATCTATAAAGTAGAAATTTCAATATGCTTAAAAGTGATGTGTGTTTACTTAAGATTTATAGCAGTGTTCATTTAAGTAAAATTAATAAGAAGAATAGTTATGTTAATTTAATTAAAACAAGTAACAAGAAGAAAAGTTATATTTAATTAAAACATGACACGAGAAAAATTATGTTAATTTCAGTAAAACAAGTAGCAAGAAGAAAAGTTGTTAATTTAGTTGAAACTAAGAGACACGAAGAAAGCTCTTTTAGTTAGAACAAAAGGAACAAGAATATACCAAGAAGAAGAGCAACAAATATATTGGGCTACTTTTCATTAAGATCCACTACTTTTAAAGTCTGTTTTCGCTACTTTTGGTCACAAGTATCTGGCAACTGTGTTATCTGAAGACAACAGTTGCCAGTTAGTCATCACAGGCCGCTCAAGTGGGAGTGGCGCGCCCTGCTAAAACTCGACCGTGAAATTACATACAACATTGTCAACAGTAAACACAGTCAGCTGTTGTTGCTTGTTGTAAGGTAATACAAATACCTCCCGGAATAAGGAAGCTAAAAAATTGTAACAATAAATCATAAAGTCTTACTACTTTCAGTGTCCAGTCGAGCTCAAAGTGGGAGCAATAAGTTTACAGGGAGTTAAGGTGTCCAGGGAGAGAAGGTAAACTTAATTGACCTACTAAGATGACCCAGCCTACTGCTCACTAGTATTAATATGTTTGTATTGATAGAAATAGTTTTGGGATACGTGAATATTTTTTAAGTTATAGCGCTTATTAATTACTGACAGTAAAATTATATTACCAGTATGCACCAGTTATTAAGTAAATTTAATTTTAAGATGCCATTTACTGTTCATATCACTTTGAATGTCCTGTTAATTGGAAAATAAGGCCACTGCTAATGTACACTTGGTACAGGTATTCCACAGAATGAAAATAAACCACTTACACTGATACTTATTAGACTAAATCCCTTGGTCTATTTGTTATCCATATCCTGATGTACTCCAGTGGTTATCGAGGGCAAACTTAAGACTGTGGTATTAGCCCAGATTAGTTGTGCAGCTTAACTATCTACTGTAGGGCATTTCTCATCAGAACATAACACTTTGATACCTGATGAAACTGATGGAAAGTGCCTGAGCATTACGTACTTTCATTTATTTTTTTTCGACAGTTTTAAGATACAATGGATCTTAAGAAAAAATGGCAATGTATGAAAACACCGCTACCACCAGGAGTTGTTTGATTTTGTAATTTTTTCCACTTGTTCTAATCATCATAATAAGTATTTTAAAAGATGTGACGTACGCTTGAACTTAAAAGAACCTGACCTAACCAACCAAACCCTACCTAACTTCCTAGACAATACGCGGTGACTCGGCAGATTTTTTGGAGGCGTATTTATGGTGAATAATTAATTTCTTCGTGTTAAAAGCACGTAGAGACATCATTTTAGTGTCATATCAGGTTTTCACCGTGTTTTACTCAGCAATTTCCCTCATCCTTCATGCCCTGCCCACTACAGGTGATTTATGATCGTAGATAGAGAGAAACTAAGAAAAAAAAAGACATGATTAATATAAAAATTTGTCGCATCTTTTAAAATACTTACTATAATGATATAAGAACATCTGTGGAAAAAATTAACAAAACCAAACAACTCCTTCTGGCGGTAGCGGAGTTCTCATACATTACTAAAAAGAATTTTGGTTTGGTTAGGTTAGGTTAGTTAGTATTTTAGGTTAGGTTTAGTCAGATACATTAGCTTGGTTCATTTTATGAGTCAAAAGCTTAAGAATGTTGCAGTATTGGTACTTGAGGAATGTTAGCCGTTACTTGGAGTTACCAAGAGGGTTCGTCGATAATTTATTGTTTATAAAATGAACCATATTAATCTAACAAACCAAACCTAAACAAATCTAAAATACCATTACATTGTATTTAATTTTTAAAAATAAAAGGGAACTTATATTGAAAAGAAGCGATGCAGAGATGCCAACTTAGTAGACGCAGCAGATGGATTTGGGAGTCCTTTCTGCAGACAAGAGACATAAGAAATTTTGAAAGGGAATTACACAAAGCAAGTTTCAGCTGTAAATTACTCTGGCTGAATATTTTTTTTAATTCATAACTTGAACTGCCTCTTAAAAATCTAGAGATTGTGACCTCATAAATTCTGTTCCACTGGAGATGAAGAATTTAATACTTAAGGTGTAGACCGATATACGATCGATCAGTTCTACAATATTAAGACAAACACCAAACAGTACTGTACTGCTATGTGATGGCTAAGATCAGTTTAATGATGGTTGTTGCCTCCCAGCCACAGCTACTATTGCAGCTCTTATTGACTCATCCTCCAGCTGTGACTCATCTAAGTCAAGTTCTGCACATCTGTAGAGTGATAGTGAACTGTGTTGATGTGTTGTGTTTTTTTCATAATTTGAGTGAAGATGATGTGTTAAATATTTCCTGCATTGTCTCTATGAAAAAGTAATGTACAATAACTCCCTAACCCCATTGTATAACAGTCAACACCTGTATCCACATTCTCTAGTCCTTTTGTGATTTTGTATGTGTCTATGTGGTCTCCTCTCTCTCATCTCCTAGAAAGTGAAAATATCTTCAACCTGTTTAGCCTTTCCTCAAATGGACATTGTCTCAATCATTGTAGGTTCACATGTCACAACCCAAGGGTATTTTTTAACCTGACACATAGCACCTGGTACTAGGTGCAAAATTTGGCCTTCTAATAGGGTGCTTTATCCTTTATATGGTATGACAGTTAACACCAAAACAGGCAGGTGAGTTTTGTCCCCTTTGTATTTAAGTGGTGAGTTTTTGTCCATGCACCTATGAAACACCCTGTACATTAAATGTATTTATGAGCAATGTTCACTTACAGTGATCCATATTCACCAGGTAATATGGAAAATAGCAATGGAAGAGTATGGTGGCAACCCAAGGAATATTACCACCCTCCACCGGGGTTACCATTTGCACTTATTCTGCTGAATGAAGCTTTGGATGAAAGAAATGTTCATTTTCTGAATATCCTGTGGCATCGTGGTAAGTTTAATCCCAAATGAATTACTAGTGTAATATCTCTGGTAGTAATGTTATTAAATGTGTAATGTTCTTGTGCAACCAGTCTGATTAGTAGAGAATTCTGGTTAGGGCATTGTACTTGTTAATTTTTTTGTAACTGGATAAAATTGTCCCTAAACCAGATACTTGTCCAGTTTTTTAGATATAATTTATACAACAATCTAATGCCCAAGTTTTGTGCCCGTTAAGACTTTACAGCAATAACCCTTGCCCCATGTCCTAATGAGAGCCAATTTCACGTACGTACAGGTTGGGTATTCCCTATCCAAAATGCTCTGAAATCCAATAGTTTTTTCGAGCAGTACCCCCATTTTAGGGTAATCAGACCTTCTTTATGATGAAATTTAGGGTAAGCAGAAATTTTGCAAAATCTAGGGTAATTAAGGATTTCTTGGGGTATTTTACTCATATTTTAGGGTAAATGAGCCATAATATTAATATGCCAGTAAGTTTGATTCATTGTGTTCCATTTCCTAAAGGACCCCATGTTATCAGAATTTGAAGCCCATTGGCCCTCAAATATTCGTAAACTTATTGACACCTTGAGTGTGCCATTTTCAGGGAAACCTGAAAATGGCACACTCATATAATTTAATATTTTACCAATATTGTACTGTACTGTATCAAGGTCTTGTATATTCTTGTGTGGAAAGTTCTTGAAAAGTCTTAAAAAACAAATTTCCTCAAGTAGTTTTCCTACACCAAATTATATTGGAGGTTTCTAAACTAATGTGTTTGCTGATACAGTACAGGTACAGAGTAATAGGTGAAGTCCAAGCTCTAATTTGTCCTCAACTCGTAAATTGTTTGATTGAAAATATTTTTCTTAACTCACTTAAAAAATAGGACATAACACTAATATCTGTAGCTACATTAATTAGTTTGTGTAGAAATGATTAATTTTTCAGTTATTTTCAGCTTCTGTGCGAGTTTGTGTCGATGGTGCCATGAACTCCTATCACAAATTAATGAGGTGTAAGGAAACTGTGTCTTCTGAGGCACAGAACGATGCATCTATATCTGTCACTTCTGCTACTGACACCAATCAGTCAAAACAGTCATCTCATCCATCATGTCCCCTGCCTGATCTCATTACTGGAGACTTTGATTCTGTACAGTCTGAACTTTTGTCACTGTATGGTAACCAAGGTGTTACTATCATACCAACACCTGACCAAGATGAAACGGATTTTACAAAGGCTGTTAAAGTGTTGGAAAAGTATGTTGAAGGAAGAAAGTTGTCTGTAAGTATAAATTTAAAGTGAAATATAATACACTGTATGTATTCACTTTTTCTATTGTCTGGTACTACCCAAATTGGTACAGTATTTCAAAATTTGGGGTTTTCATTCAGTTCATATGGGACTTCTGTGTGTGTGTTTCCATCTGTAGTGCTGTTTCTCAATCAGGTGCCATTAAAAGAAGTTGGGGTATTGTGAGGGAGGCCCCAATATTTCAGGTTGCTGCAAGAGTCAGGTTTCATGCATTAGTAAATAATACATCCTGGGCCAACAAGCAAAATACTGTGCTTGATTAATAAGACCACCAGAAGATTAGACCCCCAGCTTATTTCACCAGATGATTAAACACCCTAACCTAACCCCCTCAGGTAGTGTTTGGGTGTTGAATCATCAAGTGGAATAGAATGGGGGTGTCTCATCTTCAAGTGATCCATATATAAATACAGTTCTGTACATTACAGTATATGTCATACTATTTCCAGGAAAACTTAATTTAAGAAAAGAACTTAGTGGATATCAGCAGATGCATATTGTATTATAATTACCAAATTAAATTTTAATGAAACCATTACAGAAGGAAGCATTGGTAGTTATTAGTCAAAATTGTGTCTTTGAAACTAACTTTTGTCGTTATCCTCACACTACAACTCTATAGTATCTTGTACCTCCACAAAAACTTGAAGCTTTAAAGCTGTTTTCCATCTCAGTATCTCTCTTAACCTTCTCTTTGGCTGATAATGCTATTTGCGTCACTACTTGGACCGTTAAAAGTGAGATGTCTCCCATGATGCTGAGCGCTCACACTGGTGCACAAGATATTATCTTTCCAAACTCATTTTCAGCCATCCCATATCATTTATACAACTATTTTGTTCTTTTTTCACTTAGTCATGTACAGTACTGTAGTTTATCTTATTAACTAAATAAAAAAATTGCATAATTTTATCTGTAAATGGTAAATGAAAAAGTAAATTCAAAGAAAAATCTATGCATTTTGGATGACAAAATTTGCATCATTGGCCGGTTTTTGGGTGATATATGGACCACATGAGTGGCCGGTGAAAGGGTTAACTTAAATTCCTACTTTTATCCCTATCCCATTTACACCTCTTTCTAGCATATAGAACAGTAAGCAACAAGCCCATTTTTTACTTATTTTTTATCACTACTTTATGCATTATTGTATTTACTTGGTCACAGATTTGCTTTTCTTGTGTCGTCATAATAGGGACAGATCCAGAAATACCAAAATGAGGGGTCCTAGAAATTTTAGGTCAGGGTTTTTTAGGGGAGTGCTGTTAGTCCCCTTCCCCCAGAAATTGTTTTGAATTCTAACCAATATTATGGGCATTTTGAAGCCATCCATGTTCACTTGATATTAGGAGATATTCTGAGGTCAAGAGTAATTACTTTTTACCATACAAACATGCCTGAGTACAATGTTGCCTTTAAGAAAAGGTACTGTATTGGATTTTTCTGATGAAAACGGGGGTTCTGGACCCCCAGGACCACCCCTACATAACCACAGACTCCAGTACTGTACAGTGTTTATTCTCCCCTCACTGTCTACTGTTTCCCCAGTTGTTATTCTTTAATCATTACTTACAAAAAATTTAATCATTATTTAATATTAACGAATAATCAGCACAGTATTGAAATTACATCACAAATTACTCAATGTTTTGATTGCAGTTAAAACACGTGGTGGTAATTGCAGGGGTTAACGGTGGACGATTTGATCATGTCATGGCCAACATTGCCACATTGTACAAGGTAAGGAAGCATATCTACCTGAACTCAATTTCTACTTGTGCATATATCTTAACAACAGGTCTCCTTGTCTCAACTCAACTGTGGAATAGGATTTCCAGGATCAGCCCTTGAATTGTAGTTAAGTAATGTGACATTCATTTTCAGGTTGGAGCACTAATTTCAGAACCTGTTGTGGTTCTTACTGGAGGAAGCATGTTTTGGCTGCTGACAGATGGAGACCACAACATTGAGATACCAGAAGATATCTTGTTCAACGCTCGCTATTCTTGGTGTGGCCTTATACCACTTGGTCAACCATCCACTGTTACTACCACCGGCTTAAAATGGAATCTAAGTAATAATGGCCTAGATGTTGATAACTGTTTTAAAGCCAATGTAACCCTTGATAGCAGACATTTGGACATATGTAAGACTGTAACACATCACTTTAAAAAAAAATTGCCCTTTCTTGCAGTGAAGCTTTACTTTGGGCACTTTCCCATCATAGTTGGAGTGGTTTACCTCACCTCCAAATGTACTGTTTAAGTCCAATAATTTATCCTTTTATCTTTTGGCTGTCACTTTCATGCCCTCAGCAGCAGCATTCAAATAACTTTTTAAGAATTTAGATTTACAGACAGTTTGACCTGTGCCCGGGTTGGCTAATTCCCGTAAAAAAAAAAAAAAAAACATTAATCAGTGCTTTTTGTAACATTCTTTCTCAAGCCCTTAGACCCTATGCCGTCCTTCCATTTCTTAAATCTCTCCACTGCCTCTTCAATACTATCCCCTATCATGACTAAGTCATCAACATATGGCAACTCCCAGGAAAGAATACTCGTAAAAGTCCTATTATATTGCCTCGATCACCATGATGAGTAGAAAGGGGCTCAAGACAACCCCTGATGCACCCCTACTTTTACCTCAAATTCCTCTCTCACCATTTACTCTTTCAGATGTTTTTGTGCCCTCCTATAATTGAAATTTACAAGCGAGAGAACCTATTATCAATAATTTTACAAAGTAGACACCTTTATTTTTAACAAATACAACATTTTCTTATCTCTTAAAAGATAAATCATGTTCATATTATTAATTCCTTGATAGGAATGTACACTGCTAATAGTAATGATATTCTATTCTAGACCACCAAGTATTGGCATTTGGACACCTTGTGAGCACTTCCAACACCTATGACCTCACCTGCCAAGGAAGAGTCACAGTCACGACATCACAACCTATTCTTTGGACAATGGGTTGGGATACGGATCTTGCTCCTACACTGACTGATATGGAGGAAAAAGTTTGTTTACCAGTAGATACTCTCAATAAATTCTTGCTTGCTAATAGTTCTAGTCAGTCCACCCAAACTTAGTTACTTTCACAGGAATGCTCATCAAATGTTAATACAGTAGTTACTATAGAGAACATTTCATTCCTATTATGATAACCAACAAGAACACTTCTGTTCTTGTTAACAGCTTAGAATAAATTTTAGTAATGAGCATCCAGAATTTAAAATTGAGTTAAAATTTCTAATCACCTCTAGTGGTGGACATTAACAAAGCAGCCTTTCTTAATTTCCATCCACTTATGTGTGTGTGTAAACTCGTGCAATGTCAAAAGACTCAGTATGCCACTTACACCCACCCACACAGATAGACAGAAATGAAGTAAAGTTACTTCTCTACCATCCACCACTGCATATTTATGGCCTGTGGACCTTCAGTGAGTGACCTGTGAAATTCTAACACACTGAACACCCTATGACAGAGTCCACCAGTGTCATAGGGTACAGTTCTGTAGTAGAACTCATTACCCATGTAAATAATGTATCCAGTGGTGTGGTTGTTATGTGTATGGTTAGTGAAGTGTTTGGGTCTGGAGTTAAACCCTTAGTAGCCCACTTCATCTCATGACCTCCTGGCTATAAAAATAGGTTTTAGAGCTCCAACCCTCAGGTCTGCCTTTTGCAGTCCACTATCAATGTAGGGTGCTGCATAAGCCAATCCTCACTGCCACCTTGGCTATAATCAGCCAACTTCCAGCTGGCTTTTGCTCCTGATTGGATAGTCCAAGGTGATAATTGTTTTTGTGCATTGTATTTCTCCTTTAAATTTTTGTCAGGTCAATAGTTTACTGTGTTGGGATGTTAAGATACAGGCTGCCACAGACTGCTAGTGAGTACAGAACAAGAATTTTGTGGTGCAAGCTTCATGCTCTGTACTGTTAATATCCCTTGTGCATTTCTGATGGCAGAAAATGGAACCGACTTAAGTACTAATGATCTTGGTATCATACATACAGTATACCCATACTCTCTACAGTTAAGACTTTTAAAGGAAACTTTTTGCAGTAAGAGGTGATGATGCCCTTAGCCTGAAATATGTACAGTCTCGTTCAAGATTCTTCGAACATTTAGATCCCCGTTGCTTAATTTAATGGTTGGGCTTTGTTGTTTCGTATTATATTACACTACGTACTATAGTAAACAAACGGCCTTGAGTTGCCAGCTGTCTCCAGCAGTGTTCGAAGAATCTTGAATGAGACTGTACCATTTCCTAGTTAGTTGCCATATTGTTACAAAAAAATACAGCATATACCCAGTCAGTTATGGAAGAGTATTCTAGTTGGTGCATTATATTTGTAGCCTCCAATGTGGGTGTGTGGCTGATGTTGGGGAGGGGGGGGGGGTTGGAGGGTGTGTGATGTTGGAATTTTGTGGGTGGTCGTGAGGTGACCCACGTACATGCTGGGAGTTGGTTATTGTTATTTTTCAACTCATATTTTCAGGTAGATATACTGTATGCATGTAATTTTCTTCATTTCTTTTTTTAATCTGTTGCATGCACACAATCTTCATCCAGAGTGTGCAGAAAAAGTTTTAAGAAATTATTATCATTAGTCAAAAACATTAAGACATTTGACAATTTTTACAACTGCTGGTTGGAGTCACCCGGATTGTGTAAGGAGAAGGAGCAGTGGTGTTGATCTCAGCTGCTGTATTCTTTCGCAGGTAATGAAACTATTGCCAACCGGTAATCAGAAATTGTTTTTATTAAAAATGTGAGTCTACCTTAAAAGGCTCCTTGTGTAAATAAATGAATAATTGCATTGCAGTTAGTTCATTTTCATATGAATGTGTCATGCTGGTGCAGAATTGTACCCAACAATACTTATGGGCTCAGTCATGAAATGTTCAGTATTTTAACCTTTGATCATAAAATGTGACTTTTTAATGTCATTTTTCAACGGCTAGAAAATTTTGGTTACAGGTAGTTCTGCTATAACGCGATAATTGTGTTCTTGTAAAATATCGTGTTATAGAAAATCGCGTAATAGAAATAACAGGGCTTATGGAGAAAATAGGGTTAGGCGCAAATTACTCGAAATCGAAAAAATTTAGTAGTTAGCCTAACACAAAGGATAGCACAGTCTAAATAAATGTTACATTCATATCTAATAATGAAATCATACAGTAAATGTAACACTTTACTTGATGGGGGAGAAGGGTGATTTTGAGGTTGATAAAATCGAGCTTCTCTTCAAGTGTTATATCCTTTCTTTTACGATCATCACCGGGAATTCTATCACCAGAACGCTTCTTGTTGATATTCTTCTTTACCATATTCACAGTTAATACCACAAAATTGGTGAAATAGTAAGCAAAAATCGCGTTATAGCAAACAAGCGTTCGCGTTATACAAATATCGTTCCTAATTCATAAATCGCGTTAGAGCAAATTCGCGTTATCAAAACACGCGTTATAGCAGAACTTACTATATTTTAATTTTATGTTCAACAAAATTAAGAATAATATAAATTTATTATTTTAAGTGGCTTCTGACTTAAAAATAATACTAACTGTTCTGACTTTTGTATTAGTAGGGTTACCGGTACTATATTATTTACATTAATGCTGTATTTTAGCTTCTCTTTCTTATTAGTACTAGTACAGTACTAAATCATCATTGGACTGAATACTATAGGAGAAACTTGATTTAGCAAAAGAATATCTTTTTCCTTGACCTCTCTATTTCAATACAATTACCTCTCTTTGGTTATATGTCAGTTGTATAGTGAGGGTGTCTGCTGCCTGGGGGAAAACCTAATTTCCCCCACTACCCCCATCCCCCTCAAAAAATCACACAACACCCACCCATACTTACTAACTTATAACCTTACCGGCCATGGTACTGTATCTCACCAAGTGATTGTGATTATCTGCTCTCTGAAAGACAGTTACTGGTCAAATAAATAATTAGTGGCACAGTGTGTAGGAAAGAATTATGTTATGGAAAGGAAATTTGTGGTTATTGGGGATATATTTGATATCACTGTGATTCCCATGCTTGCACAATAAGAACAAAGTTTCCTGTAAGTGATAGTGCATCAACAATTGAGATGACCAGTGTTGATCAAATGAGAAGTAGAAGTGAGAGCAATTGGACAAGGCAATATTGGTAGGGTAACTTGGTGCTGGGAAGGTGCAGAACTTTGTAAAGAAATATGTAACACAAATTTTCTTTTCTTGAGGAATGTTTTCATGGCTGTTCAAGATTGAATGATTTAATACCTCCCAATTTTTTTTTCTCATTTTCAGTTTAAAGTGAGAAATTTGACAGAACAGGAAGTGATTAGGTTGTGCACAGATATTATCATTCCATCTTTATTTAAAAGGAAGTAGAAGTGTAATTTTATGATTTTGTTTTGTTAAATAAAGATGATTTTCCCAGGTTAATTGGATGTACTTAAGAAAAAGTCATATTATTGGCTTAAATATGTAGTGATTTGATTACAATGATATTAATATTACATTATTATTTCTAGTAGCCTGTGAGGCATTTAGGAAATTTTAGTTTTATAAAAAGTATTTAGATATTAACTATTTTTGTATTTATCATTATTTTTTGTACAATAGAGAATAGAATATGTTGTGTGTGTGTTTGGCTCATGGAACTAGAATGGATTATACTTTGAAATTGTTAATAAATACAGTACTTGTAATTTATATCAAAAAGAGAATTTTTATGATTGTATATATATATATAATAGGAAGGCATGGTTTAATATACAATACAGCACATCTATTGCTTATGGTGTACAAGGGTCTTTCAATAAATAAGGTAACAAATTACTGTAAATGTATTTATTCCTTTACTATACAGTATATGTACAGTTAACAGCAGAAGTTCGTCCCAACCCACCTGCATGACATGAGGCAGGTGATCTGGTATCACTGTATAGGGAATAGTTGAGATATACTATGCTTTAATTGGCTAGTTATTTGGGATTTAGGATCGAAGATTGACTGAGAATACACTTCTTGTATATAACTTAAACAGTATCAATGTGTAATACTCGTATGTAGGAAAATAATGTTACTGAGAAATACAGTATATGACATTACTTAACAGGGTACAGTAAAATGAAAATATCATTAAACATGAAAAATACTTGTTGGCATCAGTAGTATGGCTACATCTTGTTCCCCAGTTATGAACCATCCTGCAGTAATGTCATATTTTTTAACATTATGTTCCTATATTTTACACATTGATACTATTTAAGTCATATGAATGTGTTACCAGATCACCTGCCTTATATCATACAGGTGGGTTGGGATGAACTTCTGCTGTTGACTGTACTTGTTTTCATATACTGTAAGCTTTTTTAAGTCATGGTGCAGGATAACTGGGTAGGTACTGATCTTCTGATTCTTAGCATTCAGCAGCTAGTGCAGTGAAGGGTTGTTACACCATCAGGAAGCACACCCAATAGTGTACTGAATTACTGCTTAGTACACATGGGTTAGGATACAACAAGAGGCATCCAATCCTCCTTGTTGGTAAGGAATTAAACTATTGACCATACTTTTTGTGACAATGTTCTACCAAGTAATTTAAAATGTCATGTATAACCAGTAGCATACATTAGTACTCCACATAGTCTCAGGACCTGTTTGTGATTTGCCCTACTTTGACTCAAGTATATCAGTCCTACTGAAGTTTGCCTCTCACATTCGTAGAGCCAAGATTTAACAGCCTGTTGTCATTATCATCTGTAGCAAATTGCTCACTTGCCAGGTGCTTCTTTAACAATCTAAAGTTTCTCGAAGAAACCCAGTGATTTGTTGGATTAGTAGGTATGCCCATGGCTTAGTATATCCAGTACCCTGTAGTACAGGTTTGGGATCACATATCCGGGGATTACTGGATAGGGTCTTTTTCCAGAATTAGGTGTGCCAGGCCTAAATATACAGTAAACCCTTGCTGTGAAGCTTCTGTGCATATCACTAGATTCACACCTAAAAGTAGCTTTACCTGTCCACTGTAACAATAAAACTTAAAATTCTAGGCACATAAACAGCAATGACAAAAGCATATAAATACCAATATTGAAAGCATAAAAAGAGCAAAAATTATACGTTAGTGTACACACTGTGTCGCAATCTCAGGGACTCTGACCGCATCAATGCTTACCTTAGCAACCAGTTCAGTTGGGGACGTTGCCTGGCTGGTTTCCCTAGCAATGGTGCTCTGTGCCATGGACCCTCTGACCTTCACACGCTTGCCACATAGCTTCACGATGGAAATTCAAAGATACCACACTTAAAACTTTATACAGGTATCCTCCAATTTACAATGGGGTTAGGTTCCTGAAAAATCTATCATAAATCAGTAGTATTATAGCATAGGGTTCACTGGGATAAGTATCTGTTCAGTTGGACCCCCATATGTATCACTGAAAAAAATACAGTACTACTGTACAATATTACAGTACTAGCCCAATAAAACATCACTCATTACATCATAATGAACATGTTTGGTCATCATCACATCCCCTTTTGAGGCTAAGGAGACTTAAGGTGGAATAGAGACATCAGTCTTAGTTTCACACAGGCTCTGGGGAGTCTGAAGAGGCTAGAGTGGGAACTGGAGGTGTAGCCTTCATCCTGGCCCTAAGGTTGGTGAAGCATACTCTTCCAAAATAGGCCTGTCTCATTGAAGTTCAAGATCTACTTGGGGTTGTATCCTTCTCCTTCTACCTTAGCCTTCAGGAGAGCCAGGAAGACATTAGCAATCACAACATTAGAACTGGCTGCCTTACAGTTCTTGAAACGGTTGAACCACCCAGGACTTGCCTTGAAAGAGGCAGAGGTCTCACTGCCACTGCTGTCACTGCTCTCTGCCCTTGGCTTCATCTAAATATTACTGGCCTTTGCCATGATGATCCCTGTGGAGAGAGGCAAGTGGTGAATTCCACTCTTGGAGTACTCTCTCCATCCTCTCCACAATAGGCTCATGCTTCTTTAAAACCCTAGAAACGGAGACTGGGTTCACATTCTGGGCCACAGTCTTCAGTTCTGGTGCACTCTTAATGATGGTAGACACCATTGACTGGTGCGAGTAAGGGGAGCGAGTGACTGCGTCTGCTAGTTAACGCGTCGGCTGCCGTTGTAACTCGTTGCTCCTCTGCCATATTTCACTAGATTTACTGTTATCACTTTTACTGACACATACATAGTGCTTAATAATGATTAATCATAGCATCTAAAGCAAGTGGTGGTGTGAAGAGAAAGCATGTACATTTATCTCTAGTGCAGAAACTTGAGTTAATAAACAAGTTAAGAGTCTGATGTGTCCGTGGCTCGCGTCTATGATGAATACGACGTGAAGAAACAAACTGTCAGACATACATAAGGCCAAGGATAAACTTACCCCATTTGCAATGAAGTATGATGGTGGTGCCAGTACGGCTAGTGCAAGGAAGCATATGAAAGTGCCAAAGGATAAAGAACTGGAAGAAGCAGTATACAAGTGGTTTGTTCAGCAGCGTTCGTGCAAGGTTGAAGTTCATGGCGTGGAGATAGCTGAAACAGCTAATAAGCAGGCTCTCCTCTGACTCAAATTAATAAGTTGTTCTCAGTTCCCACTGTAAGATCACAGAAACACAAGTTATATCCACCGCATAGGGTGAGGCTACATAACTGTATTTTTAGTGTTTCTT